AGCAGCGTTCTGGATCAGCTGCAGCTGCCTGATTCACTTTTTAGGCAAACCTGTGAAAACACTGTTGCAAGAATAATGATCTAAATAAATTGGAGAAAGCTATTAGACAAACCAAACAAATAGATCTTACTTTGACTTTCTGCTTTCTGAATGAAAGCTTTTCCATAACCAAATAAAACTGTCTTTGTAGGGTTTTATTTTTATTTAAGTTATCTTTTTCATGCATGTCTCAAAAGATCTGATAGATAAAATCTTTGATAAAAGCAGATCTGATAAAAATACGTCCATGTTCTTCCACAGTCATTTAAAGTATTGATTTTCACATATACAGATGGACAGCACAGAAACTCCTATCTTGAAGTCTCTTTTTAAGTTTTTGCTGCCGAACTTTGAGGTAGTTTTAGGCTTTAGTGTTTCTAGGAAGATCTCGTCTATAAGTAATAAGAACAAGTACTGGACTCTCTGCACGGACTCCGAGAAACTCATTCTGGTGATGTTCTTTAGGTAGTTTATTCTAAGATGTATTTATTTAAAAAAAAAGGAATGGTTAAGACCTGGAAATGAAGCTTCACTGCTGCCTGAACTTGACTTCAGTTCTTCTTTTGTTAACCTCCCAAACTGGGTGCTGAACGAAGCTTTATTAAACGACTCCGCATATTTGTGGAAACTTGTTTAATGAGTTGCATTTGTGAGGCTAGAAGTGATTAAGCCTGTGAAATATCCCGAGGCGACAAATTAATGACATCATGTGTCCCCGATGAGCATGTCGGGAGGAACAAGTAGTAGCACAAGTTATCAAGGCGGTGCCACTCAGCTTTTCTTTTTTCTTTTTCTGCCGCTTTCATAAAGATTGCTTCAGTTAAATGTCTTGTCAGTAATTTCCCTCGGTTGAAATATTCAGCAGAGCTGGCACAAGATGTTCAACTGTTGTCATTTCAAATCATATGAAGTACTTATCAGCCTCATTACCATGATGCTAGTTAGGCTTGACAGTTAAATCTGATTATATAACAACTTTGATGTGTTGATAAGATCAATAGAGATTTAAAGGCTGCAACTAATTGAGGTAATAATGTAGATCTGATGCTTTACGGATCAGTTGATGGTGATTTATACCTGAAGTCAGTGGAAGTATTTGTGTTTTTCTTATTCCCTGTCTACTTGGTCATGGAAGATCATCATGTTTTTGTTTTATTTCTTTTACTTCAGCTGCTTCGCTGAGATCACAGGACTGTCCCTATAGCGGGGCGGAGCTTTCCTGTCTGGACGCACGATGGCTCCACGACTTCCCCCAGAGAACCTGCTGCCAGTGTCACATGGACCCCGGACACCACTGTGGTGCGTTTAGATTCAGTCAGTAAAGTCAAAACTAGGTCTCCATCTTGAATTTAAACCAAAAGATGGATTATAAAGATGTAACATTTTTGTTTATAAAGCTGCATCTCCGTGCGCGTATGTCTGTGTGTTATTTAGGTCCGGTCCACCTGATCCCCTCTCTGTGCTGTGATGAGAGCTGCAGTTTGGGCCATAGCCAGAACATCAGTCCTTTCCAGTCACAGATGAGCCTTAGTGACGTGTAAGTAGAGCTGCAGCACACCTTTTCAAGGACATGCAGAGCTTTTATGCACAGAATATCGAATTATCAGTGTAAATTTCGAAAGAAATTGAATATTTCTGAATGAAGAATAACATGAATACCATAATTATATAATAATTGATGCCTATATAAAGGCAGAACTTATGGGTGATAAGATGCCCTAAATTTCTCTAAATTAAAAACTTATTGAGTGATGGAAGTAAGATTATTCTCTCATATACTCTGAATTCACTGAAAATAGAACATATTGGGTATCATCGTATGGGATGTTTCTTCTATGTGGTAATCTGGACTAATCTGCACAATCCAGAGATACTGGATGTGTTTGAGTCCATGAAAACACTGGAAGGGGTCATGTTTGCTTGAGATGCCTTCAAATGAATTTTTCAACAAGATAGTGACCTCAAACACGGCAATAAGCAAACTGCAAGTTAGCTTCTGAGGAATAAAATGAATGTTACAGAGCAGCCGACACAGTCCCTAGTTTTTATTCCTATAGAAAACTTCTAGGATGACTTACAAATACAAGCATTTTATGCAAAAACCAAGAACTGCAGAACTATTTTGGATTGTAAGATTACATATAAATGTTTGTTCTGTAAATATCAATAGAAATTGAATAACAGCTGATCTGTACATTTGTTAGAAATGCACCAATCAGAGCTCTGGGGATAATTTCTCTTTTTTATTGCTATGCAGTTTATTATTTAAAAATGAACTCTAATTTTTTAAAGTAAAAAATAATTATAATTTTTAGAATCTTAACCAGTTAGCTTTCTATTTCAATGTTAAAATGGGTAACCATGACTACAAATAATTTGCGTCAATAGTTTATCATCCAGGTATGTGTTGACTTTATTTCCTAGTAGAAAACCCCTTTATCTGTTGACCTGTCTGCTTCTAACAGCACTGTTATTGAAAAAAGCCAAGTCTTGTTCCTGTTTGGTCTTAGGCATGGTGCATTTACTGACAGGAAAAGGATTGGAAATTTGACTTGCCAGTCAAGGATCAGGAAAAATGGGTAAAGCCACGCAGACAGCAGCAGATTGCTTAGTGGGACTCTAATATTAGCAGTATAATTTAACCTTAGGAATTAAAGTAAACAGGACACATCCCAAAAAAAGGTTTTATTTTAATCCATTGATTCAAGTTTGCATAGGTCTCTTCATGTTTGTTGACTTTTGCAGTCAGAGTTGTTCTGTTTAAGCCCTGCTTCTGTTAAGACTTGCAGGATGACTCTGAACCAGTTTACCTCCTGAACTGTTTCATTCTTCCTTTTTCTTTTCATCAAGCTGCTGTTGTCGAATGAAGCGCAGACATCAGGAAGAAGCAGGAGAAAATTCACATGGTTTTAAAGTTTGTTTTCTCTTGATTTTACAGAAATACACACCTGTATGATGAAGATCCTCCGATGTGGCAGGAAGGCCACACAGAACCCGAGTGTGTGGGAGGCGATGGGATGACAGGAAGCGTTGAGCCTCCTGAATACGCCGAGCTTCCTCACTGTGGGGTCGACCCAGCAGAAGGAAGTGGGGAGGGAGGGGAGGAAAAGGAAGGATTGGGGGGGTATTCATGTGAAAGGAGGAGGGAGGACACTGTGACTGATGCACTTCTTCCCAAACAACAAGGGCAAACGCAGGAAGGTGAGCAGGTCTTTTTTTTTTTTCTCACACAGCCAGTGATGATAATGGAAATATTCAGGATTTAAATCATTCTAAGATGTTGGTCCTAATCTGCCTTGTTTTGAACATTTTTTTTAATAATTGACAAGATATGAACAAGTTTAGAGGATTTTCTGTTTTATCATTTTGTTTTGTGATGCACAGCTGCTTCACTTGGATGATATCTTGTGATTCATATTTTGAAGAGCTACTATGCTTAACAACCCCGTATATACATATTTATATTCCATTCCAAAAAAAAGTAAAAAAAGATAAATAAAAAAAACACTGAACTTTGTTTTCCAAGTTATAAGATGTTTTTCTCTCTGAAAAACTCAAAAAGATTTTCGGCAAACACAAAATCCCAGTACATTTCAAACCAAACCAGAACCTTAGACAGAGGCTAGTGCATCCTAAAGACAAAACCCCCAGTTTTGCAGTTGGATGCAGTGAGGAATGCTCTGATCGTTAAACTGGAGAAACCAAACAACCTCTCCACAGTCGCATGGCCCAATACAGGAGAGCTACATCCTCCGGACAAGACTTGGCTGTACATCTATACCTTATGGACGTAGGACATTCTTTTGAGGACCAGAATGTTCACATTTTGGACAAAGAAGACAGGTGGTTTGAGGGGGGTGTGAATGAAGCAATTTATGTTAAGAGAGAAAAACCAACCTTAAACAGAGGGGGTGGACTCAGGTTTTAGCTTTCAAAAACCTACAACGCAGCGATAGAGTTGATCCCTTCCCGCTATCATCTTAATCCTCATTGCAATGCAGGAGACCAAAATATTGACCGTAATGATTCTCCCTTTTCAGAGACATAGACCAGTATCTCTTATTGCAGGCTAACAAAGACCTCAACGGCTCCCCATTCTTAATTTGCATGTTTTCTAAGACCAAAACAAGGCTTTGTTGGAATACTCTATGAAGCTTGGAACTTAACGTTAATTCCGACATTTTGACTTGGAAAAGCTTCCTGGATGGAAAGTGAAACTTCAAACTTGGAATACATAGTCCAGTGGTTTTTTTTTTAACTTCTTTTGGAACGACTATGACCTGGATTACTGAGAATCTTCATCTGAATATTTATATTCTATAAAAAAAGAGACATGCTGTGTCAAAATTAAAGTTTTAAAAGTGATACATTTTTAACCAATTTAACCATTTATTTCTCACAAATAGATGTTATGTTACTATACTCTGTGTAAGAGGTGAATTTTTAATTTTTTTTTCAGGCTTTTTTCCCATCTGTATCAGTCAGAAGATAACTGTTACTGAATAATCAGCACATAAGGACCATTCATTTTAGGAAAACACATTAATACCTCATATGTTAATGAGGACACGTGTCTCAGCTCTTCTTTTACAAACCAGCATGCAGCTTTGTGTGTCCATGATGAGCAGCCAGTAAAAGAAACCGGAGACAGCTGCAGCTCTTTGATGCAGTCCACAGGATCCTGCTTTAAATCAGCTCCCTGCTGCCTCAGGACAGATATGTTACTAATGGCTGCATGTGTGCTCTCCTCTTCCTGCTCTCTACCCAGGGTGACGCAGACTTCTTTGCCTTGAACCACCCCAGACTCAGCAACAGCCACGGATTCCTACCTAGCCTCCCCGCACACACAGACACAGGAGCGGTCGCTCCGTCTCCTTGACCTCAGAGCCCCTCTGCGGTCCAAACAGAACCTGCGCATGAATCCCCAAAGGAGCGCTGCCTGTTTAGGGATAAAAACACTAAACACACACTGAGAATGTGAACTCGATGGCCCACAGGGTTGGATCATATGAAGTTTAAAACGATGCGACTTTTAAAACGTGAAGCAGAATCAAATCTGGGAATGTCTTGCATCTGCACATGTAGGAGAACCTGACCTGTATCGCTGGTCTGTTAATGGATGTTATGAAGCTTTTGTGTGGAAAAGTTGGAGGAAATGTGTTATAAGTGGAAAAGTTGCACATGAAAGACAATCTTGATCGTTACGAGGAATGTCTGGGTGATAAATCCCCTGTAGATACTGTAAAATATTAAACAGGTCAATATTTTTGCTATGGACAGTAGACTTGATGACGGCACGTTTGCCTTTCTCTCCTCCATTATAGTGTTGTCGGTTGTGAAAGTTCACGTCTGTGTATCGATGTAAATAAACCACCTAAAACAAGATGACACTTTATTAGCTTTCATTTCTTTCAAATGAAAAACATGTGAAAGAGCAGATTTTGACTGTGAATTTACTTCAATAAAAGCTTCATCTTTAAAACCTCATCTTACTTCTGAACATTCCTCTCTACACTGGAAAAATATTTAAATCTAGATAAGTAATTATTTCTTAAAATGAGTGTTTTTGTTCTTGAATTGAGGAGGTAAGAGAGACATCTTGCCAATGGAACAAGACAATTTACGCTTAAAATAAGAAAAAAACAATTGCATTGTCTTTTTTCAAGTGCATATTATCTAATTATCTTATACCAAGAGGTAAAATACTCATTCCATTGGCAAACTATCTCATTTACCTACTTAAATTAAAGGTGAATACACTTATTTTAAGAAATTTTTGCTCATTTTCAGAACGTTTTTGCAGTGTAGGTGATCCAAGAACCGTTTTCATTCATTCATTGTTCTTTATGAAAGACTTTAAAAATCCTTTTTTTGAGTTTAAAGTTTTGCTTGTGGATTTTCTCCAGAGAAAGAGTGGACATCAGATGATTTTTATCCTCCACTAACAGGGATCTCTCATAATTCAGGTTTCTAGTTAGAAAGTTGAGAGTTTTTTTTTATCATTATCCTGATAAAACTCCCCACCTGATTATTTAATATTAAAGGGATAGTGGAGGATGTTCTTTTTCCGCGTGGATCATCTAAATAAGTGGTCTTCCTAATTGCTTCCTAATTAATCCCTATTTTCACTTACCAGTGGCTAGTCTGACATAGTGGAAAAATCTCAAAAATTATTTTGGAAAGTAAGCCTGTATGGGCGATGTAAACAGCAACTTTTAAACATGCATTTTCTTTTTTTAAGTAGAGAAGCCAGATCTTTAAAAAAAAATATGAAAATCCTCCAGTATACATTTAAGGTAAAGAAATTTTGAGTTATTTTTATACACCTGTACCAAAATCATCAAAGCATGATGCTGCCACCATGTTTGCAAGCATCACATTAATTCCCCTACATACACTTGATAATCAATGTGGAGAAATGGCTGTTTTATTCTCTAAACTGTAAATCTGTCCATTAGCTTATCGACAAAGGCAGCTACAAATGTCCCTTTTTAAAACTAATAAAGCAGAATAACAGGCGCCCGAATCCTAATGAGAATATATGGCTTTAAATCAGGGTCTGTCACAAAAATAGAAATCTATTACAGCCTAGTTAACATTAATTAAAATATTAAAATAAAAACATTAACGTTAAAAAATAAACCCATATGAACTAATTAACCCACAAGTCCAAAATCCTATGCAACTTCAGACTGGAACTGGAACTTTACGGCTGCACTTCAGTGTAGACTTTAATTTGAGCTGGAGGTAGAGATCAGTGGCAGCCGTGTTGTATCCTGTGAGGTAGGAGGCACCCAGTTTGTTCATTCTCTCTGATTCTTTCTGTGATCATGTCTAGCTTCTCCTCAGGCTCAGGTGTGACGCAGGCAAGCAGAGACAACGTTATGCTGTTAGCAGCTGCAGCTCCTCATGCAATTTAAAGTCTAAAAAAGACACAAGCAGACGATCAAATCAACAGCCTTCAGTTTTCAGTCTGTGCTCCTTCTATAAAAGTTATTTCCGTAAAATAAAGGGACCAATTATGTTCATTGGAAGCAGCTGTTAATGCAGTTAGACGTTTTACAGTTGTGAGGTTCATATAGCATAAAACTGTGAGCCAAATTTCTGTTTGGCCCATCCGAAGCCCCTGACAGACAAAACAGATGGAGCGGCATTAATTCAAAGCCTAAACAATGAGCACATGACAGGAAGAGCGGATTAAGTATTCTTCCTCATGCTGATTTGAGCAGGAAAAAACAATGTTAGGCTATCCTGTGAGCAGATATTCAAAAACCTGGAGCTGTAAAGCTAAAGAAATAGAGAATAATATAGAAAAAAAAAAAGCAGACAAAAACCCAACATTTTTTCCATGACTTTCAGTTGTCAGGGACAAAATCTTTAATTCATGTTGTGTCAAAAGAAGAATGGACGAGTTACATTAAAGTCAATATGACTCCTGGTTACACTGTGGCCAGAAAACACCTCCGTGCCTTCCCTCTCATCAGCTTTCAGAGTCCATGAGGAAGGCCTCAAAGTTTAGGTTGAGCTCAGACACCAGCGCGTCCACAAAGTCCTCCATGCTGGGCCGTCTCTGCAGCATGCCTGCCCAACACACAAAACACAACTGGATTTTAGGGTATGTTTTTTACCAAAACAGAAAATACTTCTATACAGTCATGTCAATTTTTTAAAAACTGCAAACTGTGGTATCCTATTCTATAAAACAGGGACACACTTAAATGAAATCTAGTATGATTAACTGCATTCCAGGAAAGCATGCTTAAAGGATAATGCTGCCACCACCATGCATTTCCAGGAGATCTTTCATCATTTTGAATGTGTGTCTCCTCCAACAAAACTACTGGGAAACTTCTATAGGAACCTCTTCATTAATTCTTGGAACTGCATTTCACTTAAGGGCATTAAAGTAGAGAAGTCTGAAAAAGTCTATGCCACCTTTATGGTTTTGTATCTGAAAAGATTTAATTCTTGGTAACTTCTTTGACTGTTTAAATAAGATAGTCCACCACGATAGAGGAACCTTTCTTCTGCCTGACTCCTGTGCCGGCGAGAGCGAGCTCTGGGAACGTCTGTGTGATTTCAGAGCCTGTCTGCCTGCTCATGCGTGGAGGACTCTCTCACACGCTTTACAATTCAGCTGCACACTGGCTTTGAAGTCTGTTCATTTCCCCTTGTGTAGCTGCCAATGTAAATACCCCCCCTCTCCCTCCCCCCTGCATGGGTCACCTCCACTGAGCGCACACATACATGCTAACGCACCAGCATATCTGCCCCGACACGCATGACTGGAAATGAACTGAACACAGACACACAGTGAGGGGAGTTTATGCTGCTGCCACCCTGAAACAGAAACACCAGGTACAAACTGCTCGGCCCGCATTCGAATATTAGTGGGGAGGAAAAAAGGAAGGGGTGGGGGTGGGCATCTTCTCCTCTTACTCACCCATCCCACCCTTCCCCCTGGCTACAAGATGATACGGCAGAACAGGGGTCTATGACACACGGCGACCGCAGGGTTCCAGGATCCCTGGGAATGAGGCCGCCACATGAAGGCAGTGATAACCCTAAATCACAGCTCTGACCGTGGCTGAGGACGGCAACTTTATGACCGCTTTAAACTGGAGAACAAAATGTTGAGAGCAACTGGATATTTTAAAGACTAAAGTTACACATAAAGTCAGACTGGTGGCAGATATAAAATACTATCTACAGTCTGCTGCACGATACAAATGGCCTGAAACGCTTTATATAAAGATGCTTTGTATCTTTAGGCTCTGTTTTTGGAATCTTGGTCCTTCTGGTTCTGTAGCTGGTTTCTGATAGTTTAGCCTACTCTGCTCTGATGCTAATCCTCAGGTTTTCTCTGATGCTCATGCTGACGCAACCAAAGGGGATGAGGTAAATCTTTCAGCCTTTAAGCCTCGAATCAATCAGCACGTTTGAGGATGCAAGGAGGATTTCTATTATTTTTTTTAACATACTTTTCTGTGTTTATATGGTAACAATATAAAACATCTTTGAACAAGAATTTTTTTGATAAAAGCTTTCATTTAAACACTTGACTTTTTTTTTTTATAGTTTTATGAAATTGCATACTTTAATAATTTACAACTTTAGGTAACAAAGTAAAAGTAGAAATAAAAAAAAGCACTTCTCAACCTTCAGTACAAACACAAAATGTATATACCACCTTAATTTAGACTTAGACTTAACTTTATTTATCCTTTGGGATTACTCATTCAGGGAAATTCTGGTTCCAGTAGCTTATATAGACCTAGACAGATTTTATTTGTCGTTTTGTTTACACAAGTGTAAAACAAAAAGAAATTTAGTTTGGAACAGCTCTCTGGACAATTTAATCCTTTTTAAAAGTGCAGCCCTGAAAACATTGTAAAAAAAAATAAATATATAAAAACAGTAATATAAACATATGACTGTAAATTTACAGTACTGATGTTTTTTTTAAGTATATAGAGTACAAAGAGTTAAAGCAAGATTCCGTTAAAGATAAAAATATGACAATATAAAAAGAGTGCACATGGTACCAAGAAAGCATAAAAAAAGAAAAAAGTTGTAATGTCCTGGAATATGTTTCCCTTAGATATAAAAATATCTAGAGTAGAGAGCTAAGGGAAGACTACATAGTAGCTGACTTTGGTTATTGCACTTGCACTACAGACATGCACTGACCATATAAATAAGTCAAATAATTACACAGGCTACACAGTGGTTGGCTTGTGTTATTGTACAGTGAGAGAGAAGAATGTTGCACATGAGTGACAACAGGTAATGTTTTGCATAAGATGTCCAAGGAGGGGGTGCTAACATCATATGCAAAGATGCCACCAAATGAAATCCAGTTCAACCAGATGCCTTCCAAAGTAATCAACAAACAGAAAGGTAAATAATAGTATAAAAGCAGCTGTTCTGTAAATGCTGTTTTTGCTTAAATGCAAATGTTTTTCAAATGAGACCAAGCTCTTAAGGTAAGGCTGGAGCTCTTACCGAATTCTCAATGGTGAAACACGGTGGTGGGAGTATAGTGCTGAGAGAATCTGTCAAGCTTGACCCGTCTGCAAGGTCCACGTGGCCAAATGACATCATTTTTGGCTTCTACACGGAGTCTGTGTGGACAGAATTTCCACGTTCTGCAACTGGGAACATTTGTGACTACGCAGACAGATCCGTGCATGAAAAAAATGGTGAGTTGGAAACAGCTCCTACTGCTGCCGGTTCACAAATGTAAACAGCTAGGGACATCCTGTGAATTAGTCTAAAAGTATCACCAATATCAAACGATTGTGAATAAAATCATGGAAAGAAACGACTGTCGCTCTTGAATAACATTATGAGGCTTTGAAAAAGTTATAAACAGCTGTGTTTTCAACTTTCCCGTGTAGTGTGGTGTTATCAGCTTGCTGTCTGTACTTTTTTGATTAATATAGCTCTGGAAAACCACATGAGATGTTCTTGTTACTCTGCTGCAGCAGAGCAGCTGAGTAATGGTGCAAAACAAGCACAAATTTTGCCACTTGTCTGCTTTTGCTCGCTTTGAAATTCACCTAGCCAGTGAAAGCAAGACGCGTTTTGTGTTAAAGTCTGCTGTTACTGAACAACTTGCAGAGTTTTTAGTGTTTTGCTTTTGAAAGCTGAACAAAGCCGTTGGCGCAGACACCCCTTGATTCACCATATATCTCCCAAGTCAGAACCAGTATGGAGAACACCACCAACTGTCCCAGCAGGGACAAATCAGTGCAAGAGCATCAGCAGGAAGAGCGTCAGAACAGGGCAAGGATAAAATTGATGTTTTCCTGTAAATACTTTTAACATTCAATTCTGCTGTATTTGCAAATATCATATTAGTATTTTGAATGGATATAAATATCATCTAATTAAATATTGAGATATTTCACAGAATTTCGTTTTTTTCTTACACCCTTAATGCTAACCTTGCCTACAAGATGAATTCTGTATTTGTGCGTCTACAAGCAGAGAGGATTACATCTTGTCCCGCTTGTGCTTCAGCTGTTTGAGACCGACCTAAAACAGGTTAGCCAATCACCTAGGAGAAAAACACCTAAAGGCGGGACATGTGGCTGTGACAAAAGCAAGAGCTGCTGAGCCCACAGCTGACCCAAAATAACAGAACAGCGCAGAAGGACAAACATAGCTACTAACACATTTGTTTGGTCAAAATCCAATATTTCTTTTAAAAGAGGAGCTAAGGGTGTAAAAGTGTAATTCGTTGGGGTTTCTCATGGCGTCTGCTGCCATATGAATTTGTTGCTCTGATTGGCTAACACCAAACTTTGGAAGTTCGGTAGCAGTCCGGAATCAGCCCGGAAAGTTCTGCTGAATGTCCAACTTTTTATGGAGAGATCAGATACCTCCCAGATTAATAATAAGTAGAGCTAAACCTGATTGCTACATTATCAATCTACTTTGCCAGGTTAACTTTTTGTAAGTCTGCCAAATTATATATCTGTCAAATACGTTGACGTTAATGACCACTAATGTGAAACGGTCAAAGGGTGTGAATACAGAGATATCATATCCCATTTAGCTATTAGTCATAAAACTTAGCCAACTGACCTCACTTCAACAACTCAGTGGAGCTGGATAATTTTTTTGATTACTAGATTGTGAAAACTGAACGGTTTCCAGCTTAAATTGAATATGTTACTGTATTACTTAAGACTTAAATACCCAAACAACGGCAGAAATCTGGAGATTTACAGCTGGTCATCCATTCAGCTACTTCTGCTTTCCACCAGCAGCTGAAATCCAGATCCTCTAACCGTCTTTTAGCATGCTTGATAGTGTTTCAGTCAGAGTGGTTATACTAACTCTTGGCCTGACACCAGAGAAAAACCAGAGCCAAACTAAACATAATCTGTGCTTTGTGTCCATTGTTGCGAAAGGTTTAGAACGGAGGCTTTGCCATGTGAGTCATCTCGCATTAAAGAGTTTCCATTTCCTTTCATAATGGCTCTGATGCAGCCATTGATGAACAGGGCTTCTACCCATTACAGTCATCTAAGGGCCAGCATCCTACGCCAACTTGGACGACAGAGTCTGGGTAAAACAGCAGGTGTTAAAGGACACATGAGGAACCAGAGTTCCTTTGGAGACCATGCCAGTGGAGTTCTTTTCTTCAGTCCTTTAATAGCCCTTGCTGAATGAGAGCTAAAGTAATGACTGCTTTCTCGCACAATGTATAAAATAGAGGAGCATTCAAATCATTGACTCACCCTTACTTTTACTTACAAATATTCTTTTTACTCTGTGAAAAAGTAGTTTTTATTGTAAAAAAATGTAAAAGAAACATAGCAAAATCAGCTAGGGCTAATCTAAACATTTTAAATGTTTCAATCTCATGGTTCTCAATCTGTGAAACAAGAATCATTGGTGGTATTACTGCTTTATCAGATAGCATTAGATGTCCTGGGATTAATTTGGCTGTGTGGTGAATGTGGACAAAACAAAAGTGATGTAGCCAAATAGGCATCAGCAGCCAATAGGATAAGCTGAAAAAGCCCAACACTTTCTAAATAATCAGTAACTAATGAAGAAAGGGGTTC